ATTCGACTTCCTCGTCATTGGCGTTCATTAGCCTTCCCAGACCTGTAATAGAGACCGGCTCATATAAAATAGCGAGCGTTCCGAGAATGCGGCATATCAGCTCCTTGAATCGTCCTCTGAGTACTCTATTGAGTATTCCAAGATATAGGTTTTGTAAATCGCCTCCAGCACTCCTGGATAGAAGTGAATCTAGGGTCGCTTCGAACTGAGCTGGATTATCCGCTGCCAATTCCAGTTCGAATCGTGCGGTCGAGACCCAGATGAACAGCCCATTCGATTGCCTTACTATTTGTTGCCGGTACCCGCTAGATAATAGCTTGGTAAGGTGATGATCGACGTACGAAGTGATGTCTGTCATGTTCGACTGATTCTTGGAGCCTTGCATTTCGAATTGCATTCCGCGAACGACCGCCTTATCCTGAAGTAAATTCACAATATCCGGCTCCGGGCGGCTAGTAAGAAGAATCTTGGGATTGGGAAGAGAAGCGAGTTCTTGCAGCAAGATTCGAAGCATCTGCCTGCGTGACTCGATCTTACACTCATCCACCGCGTCAAGTACGAAGACAATATCCTGTGGAATTGAACCTAAAGGGTCTACGATGAGTTTCTGAAATTGCTTGAGAAAATCTCGCTCGGTTAGGAGAGAATCGGTCTGAAATGCATTAGTGATTACATCGCCCAATCCTGGATCCTTCGACGCTAGGTCCCTCGCGAGAGTTGAGCAGAATGAATCCGTGTCGGTAGTATCTCTCGCATTCTTCGAGAAGAAGAATCGACCGAGAAGAATATCTGTCTCCTCGTCCCATTCTTGAGACATTGTGTACGCGACAGTAGATTTACCTGATCCGCCTATATCGCATAGCCAGAATATACGCTTCTCGACAGTTTTGGACCTCCTCCAGTCGCGAATCTCCTGAAGAATTGGTTCCCGTGTTCCCTTCAAGCAAGCCTGGTGCTGGGTTCCCATTGGCCGTGGTCTCTCGGGTCCGAGTCGGGCCGTCTTCAGTACTATACGGCGTCGTTAACATCCGTACTAACTACAAAAGCTCCTTACCTTCGGTTTCTATACTGATGTGGCATATAGCTGTCGTCTCCTGTGATTGACTATCAGTATCATAGCATGATTCCCAGCACCAAAGACTGAAACCTACCTCGAACGCCTTCGAATATTGCTCAATATCGTTTATATATGCTGCAAGAACCCCAGGTTCGATGCGAGCAGAATAGATTTTCCGAAAAAGCGCTTTGGCGGCCTTCTCCTTGACTGCCTCATCAACCTTTTCGAGTGTATTCTTAAGGCCACTTGCGCCAGGTTTGAGTGATATCATAAGTATGATAAGAAAACAGAGCTTACTCTATATAATCGTTCAACGCCTGAATAAAGTCCTGTTGTCCAGTCGGTAGTGCCTCCGTCTGTTTTTCCTGTAGCTTGACCCATGAACCCTCAAGGGTATCGATATGGGACCTGAGCGACTTGGATAAAGCCTTGAGGCCTTCTGTACTCTCGCTGATCGCCTGGCGGGTGGATCGGCGGGTGGATCAGGACGCAGAAGAGACTGACATGGACCATACCTTGCTATTTTCCAAAAATAGCCTCGTCATTTCACAAGTAGATTTCAAAGGCCCGAGAAATGAAGTCGCTTCTGCGAGAGCCTTGACGATTTTGGTAGCGCCGATGAGATTATCGCAGGCTTTCTGGTACTTTGAGTTGGTACTAGAACCCCCAGGGGGACCAGAATGAGGTGATGGACCCGATGGGGATGGGTCTGGTTTCTTCTTTTGTTTGGCTGGTTTGAATAGTGAGGACATTTCGGTGGTGGTCGAGTAAGAGTGTTGAGAGTGGCGGTTCAATCGACAACTTTCGAAGGGGTAACCAAACAGCATATCATAATTCAGCCAAAATTGTTTATTGGATATATTTACAGTCAATCTCGACGAAAGGCCATGCTCAATAACACCGAATGCATCAGTCACCCCTATGCGATACCATTTTGGGCTGGCGAATATTATAGATTAACTGTGCCCCATCCACACAGATATCACCGTTTAGAATCATCACTGGAGTTCATGACGTCTTGAAATCGTCTGGTAAACCACCGGTCCGGGAACTTGACGGGTAGACCGTGAAGCTTACCACTGGTTCGAAGCTATCGACCCGGTTCCGCTCGAGATATTCGAATCTAGCTGTCACCGGAGGATCCTATTTGCGAGCTGAGTCTGAGGCCGGGATGATGTATTGTTCGACTGTTTCTTTGACTTTCTCCCTTAGCGCCGCACATTGGATACACTATTCTCGCTGCTCACCTAACCTTGGCTTTATCACGACTGAAGTGCTTCTCTCCATACTTTCTTTTTTTCTCGTGGATTCTTTTATAGTACCGGCGCCCAAATTTGCCTCTCCATTTCTGTGAGGGGCCATTCCGCTTGAAGAGCGCGAGCCCAGTGACCGAACCACGGTAGGTTGGCATAATGTGTAGGTTCGACGGTGTAGAATGGGACCGGAGTAGGTTGGAAGTTAGACACAGGAGAAATAGAGCTTGCTGGATATCGGTCTAGTTGAAATATCCGTGTGTTGGCTAGATACATAGAAAGAATATATGTTAGCGTACGTAGGCATAAGCTTGCTCGTGGAGGCGAAGAAGCCATAGAGCGGTGATCAAACGAACCGTGCTTGGCCAAGAAATGAGGCTTACCTTGACGCGTTGAACAATTAGGTGATGACGGGTGGCGACGCTCCTGAAGAAACCATTTCTTCTTTATCCTTATATCTCCTGTTTGTTGACTAGAGCGAATGTACTTTCCTGCTTCTCCACGTTCTGTGTAATATCCGACGAATAGATGACTTGAATGGGAGGGACGAAGACAGCGGACGGGTCTCGAGTAATTGATGCATCCGAACTTGAAGATATCCTTTCTGCCACTTCTTAAGGTTCCTCCATGTTACAGGCTCATGCTCGTGGGTAGGTGGCCTGATCTTCATGAGGCGCAAACCGTGCTCGGTTGACGCATATGGAAACAACGGTCAATGGGTTTTAGCGCAGTGAGCGTCGTGCTGGAAAGAGCAGAGTTCATCAGCATCAATATACCATTGGGGTATCACAAAGAGAAAGAAATTAGATGGATGGATGGTACATCGGCAGCTTATCGAAGTAGCACGAGATTTTGGCCACTGAGCCACCAAGTGTGCCATCTTCAAAATAAGGTTGAAAGATAAAGTAGCAAGCATATCCAGTAGGATGGACGATAGCGGTAGAATTATAATACGACCTACCAGATCTAGGTAATCTCTGATGTAGCACACCTTCGCCTGGACGAAGCCAATGTCTCCATTCTCCTTTCTCGTGCGCTTTTACCATACGTACAGTGCGTGCAGCGAGTCAAAAAGATCGATGGAACCATCTTCACATTGATGTGCCGCTGAACTAGTCGTCGACATTGACCGAGCGTCCGTTGAACCGTTTATTGACAAGTAATGATACTGCGTGATGCCACCACTCGGATTTTTTACTGCGTTGAGTTGTCCTAAGTGCTGGATTGGAAGATTCGAGATTGTGAACTGGAGCATTCGCTTTCCAAATCACAGACCCGACAGCACTCCAAACGGTGGGCCATCCCAAATCTTGAAATGATGACAAGATAACCTTCAAAGTGACCCGAGAGGAATATTATCATCATTTTGGAGAGTTGGCAGTGCTGTGGACTGGGTTTAGAGCGCCAATATGGAATGGTGTAGTTGACATGGTGGTCGACAAAGGTTCACTTTCGACAAAGCAAAAGTTGGAGCGCCGAACGTGAGCCTCTTCGACTCGGCCACTCGGCCTTCCTCAATGAGTGCCATCATATCCCACCACAATGTATATTGTTCATCCCTCAGACTTGAAATAATCTTCATTGATGGCATGTATACACATCATCTGGTCTACTTGACCGCCCCTCCATTCCCTCAGCGTCAAAACCCCTCATGATTCATTTCCGACTTCTGTCACTGTGAAGGTTCCGTAACGCAGTAGGGCCCGTCGGCTCTGGTGTCCGGGAACTACTCGCCCACAAACTCGTCTCCACTTTTGACAACGCAACGAGAGATCGCAATTTTGGATAAATTTGATCACGTCCAAGGCTAAATACAAGGGCAAATATGACCACTGCGCCTATTATGCTTGACAGGAGGAAGATACAGAAGAAGAGCTATCGTTATTTCAGGATGTTCACTCCGACGGTTAGGTCAATGCCGCAAGTCGTAAAGATTATACTACTTATAGGTACACTATTATACTCAGTATGATGAAACATAATAGATGTTAGTGATAATGAATACTGAGCTCTACGTGGTAACGGGCCACTTAAGCCAATCGTCACTTTTGTCGAGTAAGACGCGAGCAAAATTTCTCAAAGCGATCTAAAATTATACTATATCATATTATGTATTAATTGTAGGGGCATTGAGATTTTTTAGTATTTTTGATGGAGAGTGGCGTACAAAGTTTTGAGGGCACCTGTTTCACGGGCTAACGGGTCAGGTGCAAATTTTCTTTGACGGCCCACCTTGACACCGGCTTTGATACAAACACCCTCAGGAGGTCACCGTGACTCAATATACGCCCTATTCTATATTCTTATAGTATAATTTCGTTGGGAATTCCGCCAGTTATGCGATTCGACCCTGTAGTGCGGGATCCACATTGAAGGGCCTATTTTCTGGTGAGCTTGCTTCTATCTAACTTCTATTTAGGTCTTAGAAGCTCCTAAGATAGAATGGAGCATTATTTTACTATTCTCCTTCCTGAGTTCTGTTGGGAACCCGTAGGCACTAGGAGACCCAAAGAACAGTGGCCCAAAACAGGACTTAGAGCAGCTCTCATTGGTATTATATGTATTTAAAAGTGGTATAGATACACATTATAGGACATTGCTACGTATCGATAGGCCAGTTGCCTTAAAACCATTTTT